TGCCATGCAGCTTAGGCTGGCCTGGAACTTGAAGTTCTCTTCCTTCAGAATCCCAAGTGCTGGGATTACACACAAATACAACAATGATATAGCCTTTTCTTTTTTTCCCCTCCCTTCCCCCCTGTTGGGGAACCCTGCTGTTAGGGTTGCAGTTTCTCCATGTCGGGATAGCCCTGAGAGGCTCAGCGCCTGATGGAGAGACTCCCCTTTTCAGCAGGGCGCCTCCTGCTCTCTTCCTGGCTCACCTTGAAGTGCCGACAAACACAGATGCCTTATCTGAAACATGACCTCTGGCATAGAAACTACCAGGTTTTTTTTATATGATAATCAGGCACTGACTGACAGTCTGGAAGATAGACACCCACTGCCACATGTAAATAAAGCATACTATGAGCACCTATCAACTGAGGCAGAAGATAGGAGCCCGCTGCCACATGTAAATAAAGCATACTATGAGCACCTATCAACTGAGGCTTTTGCTACTGCCTCCACACTATAAATTCTCTAGTTTTACCACTAATAAACGGAGCTGTATCACTGAATCTGCCTGGAGCTTAGCTGTATCACTGCCTGGAGTGTGTGTCACTGCTGTTTCACTGCGCCTGGGACCAGCCTGTGATCAGTTTCCCCGGAAGAGCTGTCTTCCGTCAGCACCCACTGGCCTTCTGACCCCGTTCGCCGCTTCTGCTCTCCCTGCCCTCATGGAACCGGTGGCCAACGACCCACAAGCAAAGGGAGAGCCTCCCGCAGCCGCCCCAAGCCTCCCACAGCTCACACAGAGCCCGCCTGCCCGCCATGGAGAGAGAGAGAGAGACCCGCCCTGCACCCGCCTTCCTTCCCAATATTGGGGGTAGAATCCAGGGTTTCATGCTAAGGAAGTGCTGTAGCATTGAGTCATACTAACGCCCCATAGGGCTGTTCCGCCTGATAAGAAATAGGAGAGGAAGGGCTGTGGTGGTCTGTGGAAGGCATAATTAGTTCTTCCTTTGCTTATATCCAAGTACTGTTTCTCTGGGTACTTTTAGGATAAATGCTAAGTCATGCTCAAGGCTCTCTCTCTCTCTCTCCTGCCATCATAACTTAATTCACCCTGTCTGGATCCTCAGAGGTTAATACAGAAAAGCAGTTGGCAGATTGAAGCCCCACCATACTGCTGAGCTTGGTACTTATTAAAATAATAAGTACCGTTTCCAGTGAGCTCATCTCATCCCCTAGGCACTGTTCTGAGAACTGGATGTGTGTGCGGTAGCCAGCATGCCACCATCCTCATTATGTCTTTATGAAGGGAATTATCAATGGAGCCATTGGCCAGACAAAGAAATGGAGTCACCAAGAAGTTATAGTAAGATGCCCAACGTCACACAGCCCTGAATGACCACGTCTCAATAATCACATGGCATTGCATGCACATGGTACACTTATATACATGTAGGCAAAACACTCATACACATGAAATAAAAATTATATTTCATTTTTAAATAAAAATTTTAAATCCATGTAAGCTGGACGTGGTGGCACACTCCTATAATTCCAGCACTTGGGAGGCAGAGGCAGGCAGATCTCTGTGAGTTCAAGGACAGTCTACATAGTGAGTTCCACCCCAGCTAGGTCTACAAGGAGACCCTGTCTCGAAAAGACCAGGAAAAAAAAAATCATCCATGTAGAACTGATGAGCTGAATGTGTGTTGTTTGCATCTGATCCCATTTAACAGATGAGAAGAAAGGCTCAGAGAAGAGATTTTCTTTCCTCTTCCTCCTTCCTTTTTTACAAATTTATTTATTTTGTCTTTTGAGACGGGGTCTTCCTGTAGTCCCAGCTGGTCTGGAACTCACAATGGAGACCAGGCTGGCCTCGATCTCACAGAGATCCTCCTGCCTCTGTTTCCCAAGTGCTGGGATTAAAAGTGTGTCACCACACCCAGCTTTTTTTGTGTGTCGAATTGGGAATTGAACCCAGGTCCTCACCAATACTAAGAAAGAAACCTACCATTATCCAGGTGTGGTGGCCCACATCTATATAATCCCAGCACTCCGGAGGCCTAAGCAGGAAGGCAACTCCACTACTGAACTGTACCTACCAGCCTGAGAAGTGATTTTTCTAAGGTTACATAAGAGGACCAGTGCTAGAAATGTGGTTGAAACAAAAGACTAAGGTATACATAACAGGGTCTGTCACTGAACCGGAAGTTAGCTTGACACCCTGACCCCCAGCTGGTCAGTGAGCACTCAGGATCCACCAGCCTCCACCCTGGTTCTGGGGTTAAAAGCATGCACAGCCATGCCCAGATTTTTAATAAGTAAAATCAAAAGGAATAGAGAAGGCAGGCTAGATGGCACAGGCCAGTAATCCTAGCACTGAGAGGATGAGACAGGAGGATGGAAAGTTCTAGGCTAGCTGAGGCTACATAAGGAGACTGTCTCAACAAACAAACAAACAAACAAACAAAGGTATAGAGAAAGAAAATGGGGTTAGAGCAGAGAAGTGGGCAGGATCCAGATCAAGCAGGGCCTTGTAGATTGTAAGACTAGTATTAAAGGTTCAGAGAGGTTAATTCACAGGCCCAAAGTCATCCAGCTCAAATGTTAAAGAGGAAGTTTATATATTATAACTGTTTGGATCTAAAGCCCATGTTGTAGAAAACCCAGAATGGTCTCAATAACATGCTGAAATCTGTGCACTTCATTTTACCTTGAGGAAACTGGGGTTCAGAGAGGTCAAATGACTTGACTAAGGTCACACAGCAACTCATTGGTAGATCGAGACTTTAGGGGGTTCTTTCTGACCCCAAAGAAAGAATGTTTTTGCATGTTCTGCATCATTCTGGCCTTTCTTTTGCTGAACTTCATTTACCCATTCGTTTGTGTGCTCGTACACCGAGCAGACCAACTGTAATGAGGCACCCAGGATTTAGAAATTAGGAACACATGGTCCCTGTCCCCAGAGTTCAGCCAGGCATAGGACACAGGCAGATAAGCAAATTTTGGTGTGCAGGGGCCTGAGGAAGGTGCTGGGCAGTCTAAAGGAGAAGGGATGTGCCAGGGCAGTTGAGGAAGCTTTCATTTTGAGGTACAGTCCTTGAGTCAAACCCTTGAAAGATGAAGAGGTTACTTGGTGCAGAAACAGGAAATGCTCAGTGGAAGGGTGCTTGCCTGGCATGTACCAGGGGTCCATCTCCAGCACTGCCATGGTTGGGGACAGGAACTCAAAGTGGGCAGACAGCCAAGGATGTCTGGGCAAGTGAGAGGGATGAGCAGGCCAAGTGGACCAATCTTTGCCTGCCAGGCTAGAATACAGACTTGATTCTGATGTTACTGGGGAGCCCCTGAAGGGTTTGAACAGGGGGTTCCCTGGCTAGGATTCGGAAAGTCTTTCTTATAGTTGTGATCAAAGACCTGGAGTCCTCTAAAGAATCCAAGATACAAGTTAATCTCAGGCAGAGGCAGACAGATCTCTGTAAGTTCAAGGCCAGCACCAGCCTGGTCTATCTATATAGCCAGTTCCAGGTCAGCTGAGGTTTACAGGAAGACCCTGTCTCAAAAAGACCAAAAAAAAAAAAAAAAAAAAAAAAAACAGTAGCAAGCAACTGTAATCTTAGCACAAGAGGCAAGGTGGATCAGGAGCTCAAGGTCATTCTAGACTACAAAGTGAGTTTCAGGTCAGCCTGGGCTACATGAGACCTGGTCTTATTAAAAAAAAAAAAAAGAATACATTAGGTAACTGAGGTGTAGTGGCGCAGGCCTGTAATCCTAGCATTCAGGAGGTTGAGGCAAGCTAGCCTGCTATATAGTGAGACCCTGTCTCAAACAAACAAAAAACCCCAAAAACGGGCTGGAGAGATGGCTCAGCAGTTAAGAGCACTGACTGCTCTTGCAGAGGACCTGGATTCTATTCCCAGCACCCACATGGTGACTATGAACTGTCCTTAACTCCAGTTCCAGGAGAATCCGAAGCCCTCTTCTGACCTCCTTGGCACTGCATGACACGGGTGCACTCAAATACATGCAGGCAATACACCCATACATATAAAATAATAAAGAAAATATTTTAAATAAAAACAAAACAAAAACAAAAACCCAGGGCTGGAGAGATGGTTCAGTGATTAAGACCACTGGCTGTTCTTGGACCTTGGTTCAAATCCCAGCACCCACATGGGGCTAACAACTGTCTGTAACTCCAGTTCAAGGGGAGCCAATGCCCTCTTGTGTACTCCCTGGGCACTGTATGACACAGGTGCACTTACATACATGTAGGCATAACACTCATAAACATAAAATAAAAATAAATAAAAAATTTAAAACATTTGGGGCTGGAAAGATGGCTCAGTGGTTAAGAACACTGGTTGTTCTTGCAGAGGACCTGGGTTCAAATCCCAACACCCACATGGCTGCTGTCTGTAACTCCAGTCCCAGGGGATCTGACAGCCTCTTCTGACCTCCACAGGCACTGCAGGACACGGGTCCACTTACCTACACACAGGCAATACATGCATACACATAAAATAAAAATAATAAATATTTTTTAAAATTTTTAAAGAGAGAAAATATAGTAGGAGATGGGGTGTAGTTGGGATGCAGCTTGACATACCCAAGGCTTCAGGTTTAGTCCTAGCATCCCCAAAAGAGCTATACTGGGAAACCGATGGCCCCTTCCACCTGCAGTCTTATGGCTTTTGGTTCACCCAGACTGGAAACATTTTTTTTTAATCATCCTGATCAATTCTTTGTCAGACTTGTTAAGGACAGCTTGCTTCCTTTCTGTTCATACCCCATCTTCCTCCTCGGGGATGGGGCCACTTTGAAGCTTGGTATACAGGCATGTGGAGAAGGCAGGGTGGAAGCTGAATTAGGGCGAGGAGAAAAGGGATGCAGGAGATACGAACCCTCCTAGCTTTCTCACCTTTCTGGCCTGTGCCAGTTTGAGCATCTCGGCTTCCGGCACTGCCCACTCCCCCTTGTTTGAAGCATTCCACTTCCTGCCCCACTAGAGGAAGTGGGGAGCAATACCAGGTGCAGCAACAACCAACAGAGCCATGGTGAGTCCTTTGGCCCAGAAATCTAGACATCTGGGCCCCAGCCCTCTTCCTGAGGGTCCCCAAATCAAGGTGGACTTACCGTACACTGACTCCCTTAGCCTTTTGGCTCAGGTGGTACTAGGGCCCTATTTGCCACATCCAGGAGCCTTATACTGTCCCTCCTCTTACCTCCACAGGACAAGGAATATGTGGGTTTTGCTGCCCTCCCCAACCAGCTGCACCGCAAGTCTGTCAAGAAGGGGTTTGACTTCACACTCATGGTGGCAGGTCTGGGGGTTCTGGAGAGGGACTTGGGGGTGGAGATGTCCTCAGGAGATCCTGGTTGTTTCCTCATCTGACCTGTAGGCCTGCCCTGTGCACAGGGGAATCAGGTCTGGGGAAATCCACCCTCATCAACAGCCTGTTCCTCACCAACCTCTACGAGGATCGACAGATGCCAGATGCCAGTGGTAGGCGCCCCCTCCCCCTTGTCCCACAGCCCTATCTTCTCTTTGTAGTGCCCTGCTCTTCCTGTATCCTTAGGCTGCATTCTTTTCCTTTCTATGAATAAGTATGGGCAGCTGTGATACTGGGCAAAGGAACAAGTCCTGCCTTGGAGCCCTGTAGAACTAGCTTCTCTGTCCCCACAGCTCGCTTGACACAGACTCTGACCATCGAGCGAAGAGGTGTGGAGATTGAGGAGGGAGGTATCAAGGTGAAGCTGACCTTGGTGGACACGCCTGGCTTTGGGGATTCTGTGGACTGTTCAGACTGGTGAGGAGGGGAAGGGACAGGAGCTAAGCCTCTACTCCGCTATGGAAGATGAGGGTCAGTTACAGGACTGGTTTGGTCTAAACCCTTGACCCAAAAGGAGGCACCTGTTTCTGGAAACAATCTGGCCCAAAGTGTCTAGTGTTTCTTCTTTTGAGACAAGATATCTCTATGTAGCTCAGGGACCTCAAATTTACTATGTAGCTCCAGCTGGCCTCAAACTCACACCCCTCCTGCTGGGATTACAGGCATGTGCCATGCCAGGCTTATTTAGTGCTTTGTTATTGTGTTTTTTGAGACGGTCTTACACTAACCCAGGCTGACCTGGAACTCATTATGTAGCCCAGGCTGTCCTCAAATGTGGCAATCCTCCTGCCCCCTGAGTGCTGGGATTACAGGTGTGGAGCCACCACAGTGCTTGAAGTCTCACTATGCCCTCGCCAGTTGCCCAGGTGTCTTTGCCCTAGCTATCTTCACCTGCCCCTACCCTGCACTCTCAGACCACACTTATTTCCTCACACCCCAGTTGGCTGCCTGTAGTTCACTTCATCGAGGAGCAGTTTGAGCAGTATCTCAGGGATGAAAGTGGCCTGAACAGGAAGAACATCCAGGACTCCCGAGTCCACTGCTGCCTCTATTTCATCTCACCCTTCGGCAGAGGGTCTGGAGGACACCCTGGAGGTTGGGTGACTGGGGCAGCTGGGGAAGACTGTATTCTGCAGCTCCACCCTGACCAGTCCCTGCTATAGGCTCCGGCCCCTAGATGTGGCCTTCCTCCGGGCAGTACATGAGAAAGTCAACATCATCCCTGTCATTGGCAAAGCAGATGCTCTGAATCCTAAGGAAACTCAGGTGCTCAAACAGAAGGTATGGGCATGACCTCTGACCTTTAGCACTAAGTGAAACCAAAGACCAAACCTTATCTCAGGTTTCACTGCTGGAAACCATCTGGGATGATCCAGGAAGTTTCGGGAAGTATTGCCTGCCACAAGTAACCATGTCCCCAAGGCTCCCAGAAGGATGCCTGGAGCTACATGCTTGGCTAGGGCCTGTCTGGGGGAAGTGGGATGGGCACCATGACCCCTAACATCTCTCTGGTCCCATGGTAATGTTGACTCCTGCCCCACTGTCTCGGGCCATGCAAAGTCTGTTGGTCACTCCTCAGTGTTTCTCCCTCTGCCTTCTCTGAGATCCGGGACCAGCTGAAGGAGGAGGAGATCAACATCTACCAGTTCCCGGAATGTGACTCTGACGAAGATGAAGAATTCAAGAAGCAGGATGAGGAGATGAAGGTGTGACCGATGGAGGGGAAAGGGCAGAGAAACAGGAAGTGGAGGTGGAGATGAAAGCCAGAAAGACGTTTCTGCCCAGGAGGGGAAAACGTTGACTCCTGACCCCTGCCTCTAGGGAAGCATCCCTTTTGCAGTCGTTGGTTCATGCGAGGTGGTGAGGGATGGTGGAACCCGACTAGTGAGGGGACGCCGCTACTCCTGGGGTACCGTGGAGGGTAAGGCCAGGCACGCGTTGAGGCTAGCAGGGAGCCTAGGGTGCACCCTGAATGTGAAGCTGGGGCGGGCTCTGGTCCTGGGAGTTCCTTGAAGCCACAAGCAGGGTCTTTGGGATGTTACCCACTGCTCCTCCGCTGGAACAGCAGTACTCCCAGGAAAAGGGTCCAGAGGGTGGGGTTGGACACTAGGCTACCTGGTCCGCCCTCTAGTGGAGAACCCGCATCACTGCGATTTCCTGAACCTGAGACGGATGCTGGTGCAGACACACCTTCAGGACTTGAAAGAGGTGACTCATGATCTGCTCTACGAGGGCTACCGGGCTCGCTGCTTACAGAGTCTGGCTCGACCTGGAGCTCGGGATCGAGCCAGCCGCAGGTGAGGGCCGGCCGACTATTTTGGTGCTTCCGTGGGCCACCCTTTGGGCAGGCTTCGGGGATCGGACCTGCTCCTACCCGACCCTGCTTCTCAGGTCCCTCCTCCAACCATGCCTCCGGTTCAGTGTTTCTCCATCCACTTAGTCTCTGCCCCTAGCCTCGTGGACGTGGCACCGCCTCCTAGACGCTAAATTCACCCCAAGTCTTGACCCTCCACTTCGGACCCCGCCCCTGATTATTCTTGTCCCCGTTCCCGCTGCCCGCTAGCAAGCTTTCCCGCCAGAGTGCCACAGAAATCCCCCTGCCCATGCTGCCCCTGGCCGAGACGGAGAAGTTGATACGCGAGAAGGACGAGGAGGTGAGCGAGCACGTCTCTTCCCCTCTAGCCAGCACTCCAGGTCCTCTTCTCGGCCTCTCGCAGGCCTTGTCGGTCCCACTGTCTGCAATCTTACCCCGCACAGCTGCGCCGCATGCAGGAGATGCTGGAGAAGATGCAAGCCCAGATGCAGCAGAGCCAGGCTCAGGGCGAGCAGACGGACGCTCTCTGAGGTAGCAGCAGCTGCCCAGCAAGGCGTCGGCTCCACCTTCAATCCGTGTCCTGTCCAATCCCTGGGCTCTAGACTGTCCTGAGACCCAAGCGGGTAGGCCGGCCCTTGCGCTTGCTTTGTGCAGATTCTCCTGCTAAGCGGTCCACTCCTCTCCCGAAGTTTGTATCCCTCCCTGACTCCCTCGGCCCGCCCAAACTCTACGTGTCCCGTCCAATCCCTGACCGCTCCTTCCCACCTTCCAGAGTCCCCGGTTCATTCAAGCTCTGCCTTTAATAAAATACGGCTTCTCTGGGACGCTGGAGTCTTCTTCCAAGAGCTGCTCCCCCGCACCCCACCTCCCACTCGCCCAGGGCCTCCTTTGCTAGCCACGCCCTTCCTTCTTTCCGGGCGGTTTTACAGCCCCACCTGAGTTCTTCCCACAGAAACGTACAGAAGTCGCTGCCTATAAGAAACAAAGACCAGTTGAATTTTATTGGGGGTGGGGTGAGAGCTGAATTGGCTAGAACTCTAGCTAGGTCTCCTGCGCCTAAGAGGGTACCCTATTCCTGGTCCTTGGCGTCACCGTGCGTGATGACGTAGCAGATGTTCTTGTAGTCTACGTTGCCGCCCACATCTGGGGGAAAGGCTGCCCACATGTTCTTGATCTGGGGGAAGAGGAGAATCTAAGACTGGTCCTTGCACTCCCTCTCCCACAGCCCCCTCGCCTCCCAGCCCCTCCCTTACTCACCTCCTCCTGGGAGAAGCGGTCACACTGCGTGGTAAGCAGTTCTTCCAGGCTGGGAAGGTGAGAGACATTCAGGAAAGTGAGATTGTGTTCCTCCTTCCTGTCTGTGCCCTCTCACATGTCCCTGTTGTCACTAACCCCGCATTCTTCCCAGAAAACCAAGATGGCTCTTATTAGTCTTAGTGGTCTCCCAAACACTTGCACCTTCCCTTGTCTTTGTCCCCTTATTCACTGTAAAAAATCTTTTGTCACTCAGTCCCTTCTCCCTCATTCTGGCAACCTCTAATCCTTTGCAGAACTTAAGGAGACTTGTGTGGAGCAGCTGGAGGGGAACACTCACAACTGCTTCTTGATGGTACCCTTCCCCTCAGGGTCCAGGACCTTGAAGGCTCCGGTGATCACATCCTCAGGGTCAGCACCTGAAGGGGTCAGAGGGTTCATAAGTCCAGATGGTCCCTGAAGGTGTGGGAAAAGGCAACTTGGGGCTTGAACCCCAAACATTTCACTCACCCTTGAGCTTTTCCCCAAACATGGTCAGGAAGACAGTGAAGTTGATGGGTCCGCTGGCTTCCTTCATCATGGCATCCAGCTCCTCATTCTTCACATTGAGGCGGCCTGGATGGGGGTGGTTCAGAAGCAAGGGCTTGAGCTGGGACCCGGGAGCCACAGCTGTGCTTCCTATAAACTTATCCCACTCATTTCTCAGCTGGGTAGACTGAGGCCCAAAGCCACTGAATTCCCCTCAGACTCTACAACTTTCAATGTTTATGAATTGGAGTGGGGCACTCACCCATGGCTGCGAAGGTGTCCCGAAGGTCCTCCTTGTCAATAATGCCATCCCGGTTCTGGTCAATTACGGTAAAAGCCTGTGGAAGAACAGATGGGGTCCGTGAGGAACTCCACTGCTTCAGCATTCCTGCCCCAGGCAGATCAGATTCTGGCCCTCAGCCAGCTGTCCCCTTTCACTCCATATAGGGAGGGGAAGAATTCTAGGCCCTCCTCCTCCCCTCAACAGGTGCACATTCCAGGGAGGAGGGGGAGCAGTGGTGTCTTTCCTTAGCCTTCTGTCTCCCTTCACTCACCTCCTTGAACTCCTGGATCTGAGTCTGGTCAAACATGGAGAAGACGTTGGAGCTGCCTTCTGCTGCTGCCCTTCTCTTGGCCTTCTTGGGTGCCTGTGAGGGTATGGGTTGAGCAAGGGGTCCATAGGCCAGTTCCTACCTCTCCTGGGAGCAATGAATTAGACTCAGGTTCTTTTTTCTTTTTTTTCAAGATAGGGTTTCCTGTCACCCAGCTGGCCTCAAACTTACTACTTTGCTGAGGATGACCTTGAACTTCTGATCCCCTCTTCTCCAACGCATCTCCACCTCCCAAGTGTAATTACCAGGATTATCTGCTTGCACTGCCACACCCAATTTTATTTGGGTGCTTGTGCATACCAGGCAAGCACTCGTTGCTACATTCTCAGGTCTTTTTTTTTTTGTCTTTTTTGAGACAGGGTCTCCCTGTAGCCCTGTCTGATCTGGAACTTGCTTTGTAGACCAGGCTGGCCTCGATCTCTCAAATCCATCTACCTCTGCCTCCCAAGAGTGCTGGGATTACAGGCATGCACCACCACACCCAGCACTTTTTTTTTTTTTTTTTTTTTTTTTTGCATTTTGAAACAAGGTTTCACTATGTTGCCCAGGCTGGTCTTGAACTTCTGGGCTGAAGTGATCCTCATCCTTGAAAGGAGCTGGAATTATAGACCTACACCTCCATGCGTGGTCAGATTGAGAGCTTTTCGTCCCTTCTAAAGTAATTCTTCCTCTCCTTGGAAGCTCTCGGCTTAAGGGGGCTTGTTTGGGTTGCATCTCTAATTCCTACCTGTAGCTCCTGAGTCACTCTACCCTGCCCAACAAGTACTTTCTCAGTACCCTCAGCTGCCTTCTAGGAGCCTCATACTTGCTGCACTGATCCACTCATTTACTCTGAACCTCTGCTTTCTCTTTGTAAAACAAGAAGAACTGGAATCATCTGACTGGTCAGAGGACTTCAGAAAGATGGAGTACAGAAAGAGTTGGATCGGACTTTGAACAGGTCTAGCCCCCTGTGATTATCTGAGCAGTATCCCTGACTGAGTCCTTCACCCCATCACTCTATCTGCTCCCCATTGGTGATGTCAAGAAAGAGAGGATTTGTATTTTCCCATTTGTTGAACTGGGAAGCAGCTAAATTGTTTGAAGGGAGAGGCTGCCCTGAGGCTAGGGGATCTATCTGGACAGCAGGTGGGGATTCTCACTCACCATGTCTTAGATCTCCTGGAGGCAAGGCAGTGGCTCCAGCTGGAAACAGGCAGAGAATAAGCCTGGGGCAGTCCCTCTGGGGTTATATAGTCCTGTCCCAGGGAGCCCTTGACATACCAGGGTAACCTTAGCCTTTCAGGTACCCACCCCAGATACCAAAATAGCCCAGTTAAGGGGCCTCTCCTTTCTTGGAGGCCCGGAGCAGCTGGAGCCCAGAAGGGAGGGAGGAGGGAGTGGGTTTGGGGATGTAAGTCTCTTTGGGACCTAGGCAGGAAGGGATGGTCTCCCAAAAGAGGACTGGAATATGCCAGTATTCAGAGGGGCCCAAGCTAATGGGATAATTATGGGAGAGATGAACCAGACCCCTGAACCCCTGAGTAGAATGACCTGAGCTCTAAACTCAGTAAGCATTTATCAAGGACCTTCACTGTCCTGGGGTTTCTAGGTACACTCTGTCAAATAAGCAAACAAACAAAAATTCAAGCAGAGGGCCAAGGAAGTAAGTGAAGGCTTAGGGGCAGACAAACTAGGCAGAAGGCACACCATAGACAAAGGCCAGGACAGGGAAAGATCAGATGTTAGGGTTGCCAGAATTGTGATGGGGCTGGAGCAGTGGATGAAAAGGGTTGATGATCAGATACTGTGTGAGCAGGGGAGGGGGGGTTCCAACGAGAGGCAGAGACCCTGAGGAATTTGGAAAGGTTGAAGCAGGAGAGGTCCAGTATGAGTGGAGCTTGGGCTTCAGAAGGGAAGAGGCAAAGATACCAAGAAAGAAGCTGCCACCTTCTAGGTAGTGGGTTAGCCAGTGGCTTCTCCTTTCTGGGCAAGGACCAACTTTGTGCCTTTGAGGTACCCTCTCTTGGCCCTTCTGGCCTCGGTGCCCCATTCCCCTCTATGCAGTGGAAGTCTAGGGAAAAAGTGGCAGCAGAAGCCCCAGGGTTGGCAATGGCACCCATCTGCTCTCTTTAGGACCCAATGTCCTGAAGGTGTTTCTTCCCTTCCCCCTCCTCTAGCCCATGCCAATCCCACTAAGACATTTTCTTTTCTGGGCACTGAGGCCTAGCCACCTGTTGTCTCTAAGAAGAGAGAAGGAGCCACCCTAAACTTAGCAGCTGCCCTTGGCCTCCTGCACTGGCCCCTCCCTGCCTCCTTTGGCAGTTGTTTTGCCTTATATGGTTACCCACGGGGTCTAGGCCAGGGAGGACCCCACTTATTAATGGGTTCTGGGAGGTGAGGAGGATTCCAGACAAGGGAATGGGGAGAATGCTCAAATGGAAGTTGGGGAAGTTGAGGCAATCAGACAGTGAATAGATAATCACAGGATCTGGGGCTGAGTTGGGAGTAGGGGAGTGAGCTGACCAGGCTGAGGCGCCTTAGAACTCAGAATCCAAAGGTAAAATGGGATGTTGAGAGTGAGATTTCACTAGAATTCGAAGGTGGTGGATGGTGTATGGAGTTTGAGGCCCTCTAATCCTGGGGCTCAAAAGAATGGGGAACAAAGAGAGGAGGAAGTTGGAAGGCTGGAGTTCTAAGGACAACCTTGAGGGCTCATGAAATTGAGGTTTAGGTTAATAGATAATGAGGAGCACAAAAGAGATGTGGCAACGAGGAATAAACTTGGTCCCTGAAGCCTTCAAGAACAGGGATATAGATAGAGTTCATGTCATCTGGGAATTCGTGGATTTGGGTTCCGAGATCCCCCAGTACACTGAAGTAGCACTCAGAGAGATAAGGTCTGAGGAACCGCAGCCTGGGTTCTGGGGAGGAACTCAGTTATAGATGGGAACCTAAGAGAGGAATCTGGTTTGAGATTCCTGTCTGAAATGGGGGAGAATCCAGAGAGATGAGTCATTTAGAGAATTTGGAGGCTCTGACTGAAGTCGAGTTAGAGGCAGCGAGGTCGAGTACTGGATGAGGGCGCTGGATTTGTGGTGGGGCTCAGGAGCTGAATGAATGGGGCCCTTCGGAGGACCTCAGGAAGGGCTGCTCGGCACTCTTATTGGTTAGGAGCTGCATTGGTGCCCCCAGCCCCTTCTCCGCGCTGTCCCTAACTGTCACCACCTCTCGCGCTTGTCTCCGGTTGTCACCAACTTGTCTCCTGAGTTGGCAATGCCTGCTGGCAGCATCCCTGCCCCTCCGATGCTACTATTTGCTGACAGTGTTGTCCTTTTGCAAAGTGGAGAAAGACAATTATTGGCTGATAAGCGAGCTAATCACAAGTTTAGCCCGCCCCTCTCTGGTTGTCATTTCTTCCTGACCATCTTGGGAAACCTAAGAATTCCTCAGCTCTTTCTATTGACTGACGATGCTGTCATCGCACAAATTGACAGGGCTGTCTGTCAGTTTGGCCGCCTAGCCCCCTTTTCGTTGGTTCCCTTTTTGCCGTTTCTACTGGCTAGAAGGTTGCTAGGCTCGGCCTCCTCCTGCACAGCACCTGCCTCATTCCCCGCCCTTCCGCGGTCGTTCACTCCTCAGCTATGCTTATTGGCCAGGAGGCTCAGGCTCCCTCTTTTCTATTGGCTGCTTTCCTCATGCCATCTCCGCCTCCTTCATTTCCTCTTACCAGACAACCCGCCCTCGTCCAGCCTCCAACCCCACCCACCCTTCCATCGATTGGCAGGAACCCAGTTTCCTCTCTGCCGTAATTTGTCCAAATCCTCTGTACCCGGCGGGAGGGAAAAGGGGCGCGATGGGCCTTCCCGCGCGCAGGCGCACTGCGCCGAGATGCTGGCGTTCCGCGGCCCCGCAGCGATTGCGCAGGCGCGAAGTCGGCAGCCGGCCCTCGCAGGAGGGAAGGGGCGGCGGCGCGAGCTGGGTGACTGCGGGCGACCCCGCGCGTCTCCCGGACCCCTGCCCCGCCTCCTTGCTCCCGCGGCCGCCCCTCAGGCTGCCCGCGTCGCCCCGCCCCCG